TGTTCATAGATCTAGTAGTCATCCTATGAGAGGGAGGGGGTGCAGATGGAGCAATGGAGGAGGATATAGTGTTGGGATCAGAGGGATGGGTTGACATAGAATCTGAAGGAGGAAGAGAGGACATACCCAGTGTAGATGTTGATGGATCTGAGGATACAGCTTCAAGCAATGTGAGAGATGGAGGCACCTGAGTCACTTGCTGGACTTCTGGAATTGGGCCAAAAAATTCTACAGTAGGATGAGGTCGTGGGTTGCTGGAAGGAAGCATAGAAAGTTGATGATCACCTGAGTTGGAGGAAAGAGGAAATGTGTGTTCATCAAACACTACATGACGAGATAGATAGAGACGATGGGTCTTTAGATCAAGACATTTGTAAGAACTTTGAGTGAGTGAGTAACCCAGAAAGACACATGGAGTGGATTTTGGGTCAAGTTTGCTGCTGGTATATGGTTTGAGCCATGGATAGCAGAGACAACCAAAGGTGCTAGGTTTAAGATAATTTGGGGGACAAAGATTGAGGGATTCAAAGGGAGTTTTGTTATGCAAGAGAGGAGTAGTCATGCGGTTAATGAGGTAACATGTTGTTTCAAAAGCAAAGGACCAATAGGATAAGGGAAGTTTAGAGTGATAGAGAAGAGTAAGGCCAGTTTCGACTAGATGCCGATGGCGACGTTCAAAGACTCCATTGTGTTGGGGCGTGTGAGGAGGGGTTGTAAGGCTGGTGATACCGTGTTGAGCGAGGAAGGGTCGAAGTTTGAGGCACTCACCACCATTGTCTGTGTAGAGGTGCTTAATGGTTTTTTCAAATTGATTTTTGATGTAATTGTTAGGATTAATGAAAACAGTTTGAACATCAGTTTTATGTTTGAGGGGGAAGAACCAAGTGAACTTGGTGAAATGATCAATAAAAATAACATAAAAACGATAACCACTGACAGATTTTATTGAAGATGGACCCCATACATCCAAATACATTAATTCAAATGGTTGAGAACTAGTCATAGACGAGATGGAAAAATGTTGTTTGTGACTTTTATTACATTGACAGGAAACACAGAGACTGGGCTTTGTAACAGATGATTTTGCTAGAGGTAAGCCATAGGAACAAACAACTTAGTGACAACTTTTGTGGAGGGATGACCCAACCGTCAATGCCAACCATCAAGGGAGGTGCTGACACCAACAAACGCCACTAGTGATTTGCACAAGACTTGAGCAGATTGAGGCAAGTAGTAGATGTCATCCTCACATTTGCTTTGAAGAAGATGCACCCCCGTGTTTAGATCCTTCATAGAGAAAGAAATGGGAGTAAATTCAACAGAGCAATTGTTAGAAGAGGTGAATTTATGAACAAAGATAAGATTACGATTAATAAAGAGAACACAAAGGAGATCTATAAGAGTAAATGTTTGACATGGTGTGGAGAGGTTGGTAGAACCAACATGTGTGACAGTCAAACCTATGCCATCCCCAATGACAACNAAGAAGATGCACCCCCGTGTTTAGATCCTTCATAGAGAAAGAAATGGGAGTAAATTCGACAGAGCAATTGTTAGAAGAGGTGAATTTATGAACAAAGATAAGATTACGATTAATAAAGGGAACACAAAGGAGATCTATAAGAGTAAATGTTTGAGATGGTGTGGAGAGGTTGGTAGAACCAACATGTGTGACAGTCAAACCTATGCCATCCCCAATGACAAACTCATCTGGTCCCTCATATTCAGATTGGAGAGACATATTTTGGAGTTCAAATGTGATATTATGAGAGGCCCCGGAGTCCAACATCCAGCAATTATTGGCAGGTTGAGACATTATAGTACAGTTAGCTTGAGCCAAAACACAACGGAGCATGAGGCATGCAATGATAGTGTGACCACTGAAGCCACAAAAATGGCANTCCAGCAATTATTGGCAGGTTGAGACATTATAGTACAGTTAGCTTGAGCCAAAACACGACGGAGCATGAGGCATTCAATGATAGTGTGACCACTGAAGCCACAAAAATGGCAAGATTTGTCTAGTTGATGATCCTTTTGAGCAGAGTCAACAGAGGAATTGTTGGTGGGCTTGTATTGGAGGGAGCCACTAGAATTATTAGACCGAGAATAGGTTCTTTTCTTGTCATGCTTTTGGGAAGAGCGATTATTGTACCTGCGTTGAGAAACATTAGCTATAATAACAGGAGTATTAGAAACATTGTCCAGAAATTTCAAGTATCAATCATGGCCAAGGAGTATGTCATGGAGTTCTTCAAAGGTGAGAGAAGCTGCACATGTGCGAATAGGGGCAACAATCTCACGGTACTCCGAGCCAAGACCATTAAGGATGTAGAGTGTAAAATCGTCGTTTGTCACAGGGACATCGATAACTGCTAACTCATCTGCAATATTCTTCACAAAATGAAGGTATTCTGTAATGGAGTGAGGCCCGCGTTGAAGAAGAGTAAGATCTTCCTTGAGTTGCATGACTCGAGTGCGGGAACAACTGGCATAGAGCCGAGTGAGTGTGTTCCATGCTTCCATGGATGTCTCAGCATTAGCAATATGAGAGACAACAGTCTCAGAAACACCAGCAAGTATGGCGTTGAGCAGGAGCTTGTCCTAACGTATCCAATGTGAATAGGCAGTTTTAACAGAGGCCTGATCAGTGGAGGAGGCACCATTGAGGGAAGGGCAGGGGAGGGTACCATCAAGATATCCCATAAGATCATAACCAATAAGTAAGGATTCGAATTGACACCTCCAAGCAAGAAAGTTGGTAGGTGTCAGTTTATGGGAGAGTTGAGCAGCAGCGTTTACAGCAATGAGAGGAGTAGAGCTTTGAGGATTGGAAGAGATAGTTTGATTGGTGGTGACCATAGCGAAGAGGATCGGCTCGTTGGAGTGTGTGATGCTCTGATACCATAATTTGGAGAAATCTTTTTTATATTTCTTTGTATTTGAGATCAGTATATATAGATACAAGTGTAGCTGTACAATATAACAGAAATGCAATATTTTAGGAGCTAAAAATCAATGCAACAATTTATGGAGAAATATGTTGCATTAATCTCGTTGAAACTGACAGCAGATGGTCATGCAGTTGGAGGTGGCAATCTTTCCAAATTTGATATATGGGCATTATCTCTTATTTATGCGTGCAGTCCAAAAATAAACAAACCCCATTAATAGCATCCTACAAATTCTGCGGTTTCCAAAATCAAGTTGGTTCTTCCGTGCACACTCCTTTCCAAAAAGAGATTTTAGGAGGAATTTTGGGGTGGGAAAGTGATATTTCGGGAGTGATTTTTCTACATTTAAAAACCACTCTGTTTTGTTATATAGATTGTAAATGAAGAAAGAGCAGTGAAAGTGACTCCCATGAGTAGGCTAAGACAGGGAGAGCCCCTGTTCCCATGCTTGTTCATACTTGTTACAAAAATGTGAAGTCTCATCAGCTAGATCATTAGTAGCAATAGGATGAAGTGTTTGAAGATAAAACAGAGAAAGTCCAACAATGTCTCACTTACTGTTGTTGATGTCTCAACAATTTTTCACAGAAGCATCAACAACAAACTGCTGTGAGCTGTTGGAGGTACTAAATCAATACTGCTATGCATCTTGATATGCCATTACAATCTTTAAGTTTTCCATTAAATTCTGTCAACAATTCAGAACTAGAGTAGCCAGCTTCTGGTGGAGTAAAAGCAATGGAGCAAGCTAAAAAGCTGAAAAGGGGGAAGGGGGTTTGGGTTTCAGAGATTTGTGGGTACGGCTTCTACAATGGCAATGTTTCCCTAAAACTTGTTTCTGTGAGGCAAAAACCGAACAAAATATCTCTTGAATATGGAGCAGCATCCTAGAAAGAAGAGAGGTACTACGCAAAATTGCACGTGGAAGGTGGAAAACGGTGAGAAGATCAAGATATGGGAGCATTATTTGGTTAAAGATTGATTATCCAACCACAGAATATATGGAGAATCTTCTGTGGAATCCCTATTTCCAGCTGATATTCAAAAAAATGTTCTGGCTTTGCCATTAAGCCTAACACAATAGGAGGATGAAGTAAGTTGGGCTGGGACCAGTTCTGACCAATATATGGTTAGTAAGTGATCTTGGGACACATTACGTTGGAATCCTGAAGCACCATCACGAAAGCTATCGCACGTCTGCCTGCGGTGCATAGATAGGGAAGCAACCCTGGCTACTGTGGAATGTATGGAAAAGAAAATTAATAGTCTCCTATATGCCCCCTTTACGGAGGGGATGAAGAATCTGTGGAACACTTGGTTTTTGCTATGCCCTGGATAAAACAACAGTCGCTGGATGTGAAGAAATGAATAAACGAGTGTTGGAGAGCTCTACCAAAAGGAAGACCAATAGAAACTATGATGGTGCCTACCAGGACAAATAAAAAGAAAGGGATTTAATCTAATAATTAGAGACCATAATGGATCATATTTACAAGGTGAGTCTCGAACTGCAGCAGCTCTTTCTCCCCTGGTAACAGAGGCTTTAGCACCGGGGAAAGATGGTCATATTGCAAGAGATAAAGGCTATGCCCTGACAATTCTTGAATGAAACTCTTTAAGTTCAGATTGGTTCTTTGAATAATAAAGAGAGACAGTGGATTAGGGAAGTGGAGGTATTCCAAAAGAGATATCAAGTATCTCATGGAATCTATCCCCTCAATCCAACAGAAAGCAATTGGAAGGGATAAAAGGCAATCTCCCTCCATGCTGGAATAATCTCATACCACAGACTACAGGAAATAATGGATACTGAAGCTCGTAAAGGAGTAGGATAAAAGTAGCTTTGTTTGTCTAGATTTCTGAACATTGTATTTGCTTTAATGCTTTTGCATTTCCTGCACCTCGGCTGTTACCACATTTCTACCGTTCAATGAATGGAAAATGACCGCAAAAAAAGCGGATATTCATCTCAAAGTAGCCGGCTAATCATGCATATTCTCACCCCTTTTAGTTGAATACAATTTGAGAGAGAGACAGAGAGACGTGCACACATGATTCTCTTCATTAACAAAGGCGTAACTTCTACAAACTTTGACAAAGAAAGGATACAAGCGACAGCATTTACATTGAAAGGGGTGACACAACTGCATCCCCCGGACGTATACAAAGTCAAAAAATTATAATAACAAAGAAATACACAAAATTGGAACACCAGGTCTCATTCACTCCCACATTACACATTTCAATTTTATTTCTGTGAAATTGCTACCTGGTTCCATCCCTTTCTTCCTGCCCCCACCCCACCTACATTGGGGGCGGGGATATCAAGTTTGAGGTCTACTCTACAGTAATTTCTAGTATAGTGGTAAGTCTGGGTCTTCTGTATCTCCTAAGAAGCAAAGAAGAGCACACAACACTTACAGATGAGAGAGCCATGCATGCACCAGCTGCCCATGGCGGCAACTTGACCTTTACCCAAGGAAAAAAGACCCCAGCAGCAACAGGGATTGCGATCACATTATAAGCCATGGCAAACACATAATTCAATCGAATACGAGAAAATGTCTTTCGTGAGAGGTCAATGGCCGTTATTACATCTTCTAAATTACTCCTCATCAACACGTAATCAGCAGCTTCTATTGCAATATCTGTACCTGCCCCAATTGCCATACCAACATCAGCAGCAGCTAAGGCGGGGGAGTCATTGATGCCATCCCCCACCATTGCAACCACACTTCCATCCTTTTGAAATGAATGGATGACCTCAGCCTTTCCTGCTGGCATTACCTCTGCCCTTACATCTTGAATGCCAACCTGCAGATTTAATATTCATTAATTTTCTTGCACAGTTAATATTCATTAATCTTGTGCCTCAGTAAGTTTTAACAACTAATAATTCCAGTTCTGCCCCCAGCTTTGCTGCAACTACTCCATTTTCTGTTCTAGTTATGGAGAGGATGCAGCCCAACTAGCAAATTCAAAGGGGCCGTAAAACTCAAATTCTGTAGATTTGGGATGGCTTCAAATGGAGAAGCTAGTCCTGTCAGATAATGACAAAGAAATGTCCCAGAAAGAGCAAACTGAGTTCTGTACATGATTTCCAATTGGTAATTGAAGTATAAATACTTAAGTTACACTCTCTAACAGCTTAAACTTTTGGAGTTTATGGTTATTTAACATGGTATCAAATCAATAAGTCTTGTGTTTGAATCGCACCGCCACCTAATTAATAGATTTCCACGTGCTAGGCCTAAAATCAGCATGTTGAAGAGGAAAACAAAGTCCACAATACACCAAGGAACCATAGAGCTTCTATTAAGGATACTCAAAAAACTATGACTAAGGATAGGTCAGAATCTCTGAATTTAAATCCATACTGGACTAGGTTGAATTAACAAAGTCCTGTTTCTATCCATTTTTCACACCTGTGTTCCATTCTTGATAACAGAAAACTGGAAAAAGGATTAAGAAACTGAACAAATTTTCAGAGTGTCAATCAGATAACTGGTTCTAAATAAAATTTCTAGGAAAGTCCACCGAAGAAAGAAAAAGAAAACATTCTCGGCTTTTTCAAGAATGAAGTCCATTAAGAAGTAGAACCATTTCATTCTTTCTTTGTTTTGGCTTTAGTTTTTTTATTTATTTTCTTGTCCTATTTTCTTGTTTGGGAGTGGGCCCAGGGGAAGGGGTGCAATGGGGGGAAAGCCCTCAGTTTTATAATACAGAAAGGTGAAAAGTCAACTTTCATACTCGTACAAGGAGAACAAAACAACCAAAATACATGTGAATGTTTCCTTATCTTTTTTTGTTTTTTGTTTCTAAGCCAAATTTCCAAAGGTGACATACTGAAACATAAAAAAGAATACAAACCTCCTTAGCAACAGCCTGAGCTGTCCTCCAATTGTCCCCTGTAACCATGACAGTTCTGACACCCATTTTCCTAAGACCTTCCACAACTACTGCAGCTTCTCTCTTTAGTGGATCCGCTACCCCCAAAACACCAATTAGGGCTATATCATATGCCACTAGTATGCCAGTCTTTGCACTTTCTTCCAACTCAACCACAAAACTTTCCACATTGGTTGAGATAGCGACACCATTTTCAGTCAGCAGCCTCCGATTACCAACCTGTTCAATATGCATAATCTCAAGTAAGATAAACCCCCAAAAGTTATAAATCACATTTCATTAGATGCTAACCATGCGACCTGTTCAATATGCATAATCTCAGGTAGGCTACTAAACCCCAAAAAGTTATAAACACTATATTTTTTTCTTTTTCTTGCCAAAATCGATTGTAAATAATGTGTCAGAAACTCACCAAAACCCGTTTTCCATTGATAAAGCACTGTACCCCTCTACCAGGTACAGCAGAGAACTCCGAGACATCAAGAAGCCATCCAGAGAATTTGGGATTTTTCTCATGGTTCTGAGCATCCTCAATCGCGGAAGGCTCATCAAAGAAATGGAAATGGCGGGCATATTCCAGAATTGCTTTCGCCAAGGGATGTTCACTGCTAGCCTAAGCCATAGAAAAACAGACAAAATCATAAATGATCAAGTCTTCATTATTGCTTGATTACTAAGGAACTAAAACCTAATAAAAATACAGAATCTGCAGTTTCTGCAGCTCCTACTATTCAATTTTGAGTACTAAGGCACAGGCAAAATTCCTCCTGAAAAGCAACTGCATAGAAGGCTAGTTGATATGTATTCTGAAGGACTGTGATTAAAATCATGACTTAGGTGACACGGAGCAAAGAAATTGAAATAGCCTTGGAAAAGAAAAAGAAGTTAGCACGCAAAAGAGAAGTTATGCAAGCCAGGAAAGTGGAAGTTACCTCTGCAGATGCTACCAGTGTAAGGAATTCTCCACGATCCATTCCTGAGAAAACTTTTGCAGTTGTAACTGTGGCTTTCCCCTGCGTCAGGGTGCCTGTTTTATCAAATACAATATACTTAACCATCTGAGCCCTCTCCAATGCATCACCTCCTTTTATGAGCACACCATTATTAGCTCCCACCCCTGTTGAAACCATGACAGCCGTAGGGGTGGCCAAGCCAAGTGCACATGGACATGCAATGACTACAACTGATATTGAAAACATGAGGGCAAAAACAAAGTAATTGCCATTTTCAGGTAGCCATTGTTCTGGGTAAGCTCCAAGAACTCCACCGATATACCTATAGACAATCAGCAGAAAAAAAATCAAAGTAAAAAGGGAATTTCAACATACAATTATACATGACTAGGCCATATCAAAATTTTAAACTTACCACCCAAATAAAGTCAACAAGGACATAACTACGACTGTAGGGACAAAAATGCTTGCAACCTGCACATAACAGAGATACCTAGGATAAGTTTCACATTTCACAATTATGTCCACTGAGCAGAATAAGAACCTAAATAACAGGACCATGGCTGAAGGTGAAGGGCGACAATAATAGGAAGGCATTCCTTATTTTTCTGCTACCTTTGAGACTCCTGGTGCCACCTTTCAAATTTCCCTATCTCAGTTGCTCTAGCACGTGTTTTTTTGGTTTCGATGCTGCTTTTATCCTGATGAACTTATACTAATTAGGACCATCAAGCTTGGTTGATATTTTTGGGGATCACTCCACCCATTGCCAATTAGTTTTACGTTGTATGCTCTAACATGGTATGAGAGCATTGAAACGACAACTACGNATCAAGCTTGGTTGATATTTTTGGGGATCACTCCACCCATTGCCAATTAGTTTTACGCTGTATGCTCTAACATGGTATGAGAGCATTGAAACAACAACTACGTATACTGAGAAATTCAATGGGTAAGCCAGCAAACAAACAACTATACATATCGGGAAATTCAAATGGGTAAGAGACTTGGCCCACTGACCACCCAAGGGCCAGTTCTAATAGCACATTAGAGCATCCAAGTCCAAAACTAATTGACAATGGGTGGAGTGGCCCCTCAAGTATATCGGCTAACCTTGATAGTCCTAATTATTCGATGTGGGATACAATCTCTATAGCATTCTTATATTTATCTTTCATATTCTTCTAATCAACTCCATACTCCCAAGCTAGTATTCCAATACATCCAGAGGAACTTCCCAGAAAATTCAAGTTTTTAGAGATGTGATTTGAAGGCCACAATATGGCATGCCACCCACTAAATGTGCTTCCTCACAAATTGGAACAACACTTTCAAACTTTAAATGGAATAACTGAAGCAATACATGCTCCCCAGAAACCAATGGCACTTACATAATCAGCAAACTTCTGAATGGGAGCTTTGGACATCTGTGCAGTTTCAACCAGACAAATTATCTGGCTCAAAACTGTGTCAGAACCTACTTTGGTGGCTTGTATGTGAAGAGCACCATGTAAATTCATTGTACCTCCAATAACTGATGAATTGACCTCCTTCAAAACAGGTGCAGATTCACCAGTTACCATACTCTCGTTAACATAACTTGAACCCCAAACAGCCATACCATCAGCAGGAATCTTGGTACCAGGAAGAACTTTGAGTATGTCACCAGGCTGAATCAGCAAAGCATCTATTTCCCTTTCTCTGGTATTGTTTCCACCTGTGAAACCAAGAAAAAAAACCTCCTCATTTTGTCAAAATTTTGAATTTTATTTTCACCATGCATCTTGTTACCACTTACCGGCAACATTCCAAAAGAAATTATCACTTTTTATTTTTCTTCATTTGTAATTTCACTGATGCCCACACAGGAACCTCAATTTATTAAAATTGCCTGCTAATTACTGAGATTACAGAAGGAAACATTACCTTTGTCTTTGACGAGTAACAAAGCTGTTGCCGGTGCAAGTTCTACTAACTTCTTGATAGCATCTGATGTTTTCCCCTTAGCAAGAGTTTCCAAGTATTTCCCCAATAGCACAAATGTTATAAGCATTGCACTTGTTTCAAAGTATGTTGGAGACCAAAAACCAGTGACTGCACCATAGAGTAGAGCATACACAGAGTAAAAGTAAGAGGCTGAAGTTCCCAATGCAACCAAGACATCCATGTTTGTTGAACCATTTCGAAGTGCTCTGCCAGCTGCGACATAAAAACGCTTCCCAATAACAAATTGAACGATAGTCACCAATGCCCACTTCAACCAATCACCCATTTGGAATGGTCCACATCGACGGAGCAATAAGGAATACAACAAAGGTATGCTAGGGCAAACAAATCGCATGAGAAAGACAGGAATCTGCCACCAATTAATAAAAGCCAATTGAGCATTTAAGAAAGAAAAGGAGTTTGATTGAGTGCTGGGTGTTTAAAGAGGCTTTTTTCTGCGTTATGTAAGCAACATAAGTTCCTAACAAATATCCACGAGAATAAAGAAATTACTTACACTGAGAAACAAGCTAGCAGTGAAAAGCCGAAACATCTTTGAGGATTCTTCAAAATCTTTAGAAGCCATTCTGGTATAAGGGTTCTTGACAAGTAATTTAAACTTCCCAAAGCTTTCTCCCTCAATGCCATCAATTAACGATCTAGAACCAAGGACCTCAGTATCAAAGAGAACTTCTAATTCACTTGATATCCTGTCAAAACGAAATTGTCTGACTCCCCTCAAGTTGGAAAGTATACCTTCTAAAACCTGTGCATCCAGCTCACTTGATATTCCAGTAACCTCTAGTATCATTTTATCCTGCTCACTGCTCTGTACAAGTGAAGCTTCAAAACCAGCATCTTCAATTGCACTGACTATATCATTCTTAGTAATTGCAGTAGGATCATACTCGACCTCTCCTAAAGAAGTAGCCAAGGCAACTACCGCCCTTTTGACACCAGGAAGCTTTCTTAAAATGCCTTCAACGGAATTCACACAAGCTGCACATGTCATACCTCCTATTGAGAACTGTCCTAGCAGTGTTTTATGTGACTTAGTGTGAGATATACTGGGTTCAGGTAGAATCTCTGCTTCAAATCCTGAATCTTCTACTGCATTCTTAATGTCTTCATCCTGAAACAAAGAGTAAATGGAATTTAGTTGGAATCAAAATCCCATCTAGGTATGCAGCATTTCAAATTACTCATACTACGAAGAACAACTAAATCACAACTCTAAGATGCATAAACCTGACTCATTGCACAGAAACATAATCAAGTATTTTACTTATTCTACCAGCAACTCTATGCAAGATTGAATATTCTGACAGCCACAGTCCATCCAAATTTCCTCATTCTTTATTTGATAAATAATATTTACAATCATCATATGATGAATCAGGTAGGGAACATATAATTGCTCCAAATTTCACAGCAGCAACTAGATGGGAAATTTCAAAATCCTAGAGAGGTGATGCTTTATTAACTTTTCCTCATAAATGTCAGTTCAACCAATAAACAAGTAACTCAATTAAGAACTGACATGCACAAGAGAGAAGAAAATTATCGTAGTTTTTTCTTTCACTAAAACCAGTAATATCACNTTCAAAATCCTAGAGAGGTGATGCTTTATTAACTTTTCCTCATAAATGTCAGTTCAAACAATAAACAAGTAACTCAATTAAGAACTGACATGCACAAGAGAGAAGAAAATTATCATAGTTTTTTCTTTCACTAAAACCAGTAATATCACCCCTGGCATAGTGATCTTTAATAAACCTGCGTCATTTTTCTAGGTGCTGACTAGCTTCGCTGGTAAAGTGCCATGGAAGTCATACCATGAAACTGTGATTGAACCCCACATCCTCGTCTAGCTTTAGGTGATATGTAGGCAGCTGTATAACAGTACTATTCCAAATACTGTGCTTAGTGTGTGTTCTTACAATTTAAAAACTGGTCATTATTATGTTTGGTCCACTAATCGAGGGTGCTGGCCTATACCTAAATTTTATCATTGTGTGCAGGATAAGGATTCCCTCAAAATATGAACTCATAATCTCACAGTTGTTAGCCCAAAAATTTTATCACTACACCAGCCAGTGGCACACAATTTAGAAACTCAACAAGCTAAAAGTTATTTATTTCAACTACCTAGGTCACATTTTGTTCTATATCCAAATTTGTAACTCAATCGAGAATCAACTACATAGTGATCTCAATCAGAAGATATAATAGTGACTTTCAAAAAAGCAATGTCAATAGGTATAATTAATCTACTACTAATGCATTTGAAAATCGTTAATCGAATGTGAATCGCAAGCATTCAATGTGCTCAGAGTCGACAATGAATCAAGATGCTCAACAATCAAAATCTCTTACCAAAATGAGAAACAAATCAACTATCTATCTTATATCTTCTACTTAATTGATCAAAACCATACAAAACTAGTTATTTTTGTTAAAAGTGGATCCCCGATGCTCTAGTATTTCTTAAATATTGTTTTAAACCTGAACTTCTTTGTCTACCACCAATCAGTCAAATCTAATTTTCAGTGAACTGTTCAGTAATTTGTATTCTAAGTTCTAACACTCTCCATAGATCGATCTCAGTCTATTGAGTATATGTTACTTGGCCACAACATGCAATTGAGCGAACAACTTTTTAGTTGTAGCAAGTTTTTTGCGTCGTTACCGTGGAGTGATGTCTAGAACAATGAGCACCTATTGCCGTCATTTCAGTTCTACGCTAGTCCTCTCCCAAATCATGAGGATCAACCAATCACATCAAATATCATTGGAATCACCATTGTATGATGTGGTCAAATTAGGCAAACCAACTACCTACCACAACCCCTTTTTTCGTATAAGCCTGAAATTGGTTCTGTCAATGTCAAGACTGTAAACAGATCAACTGCAGATAGGCATGCCAAAGTTATGCATCATATTCTCACTAACTTATTGTGCATGCCAAAGTTATGTTCAATACAATGGGGCAGAATCATTCCAATGATAGAATGTGCAAGTTACATGTGAGAGGTAATGTGCCATAAACAAGCAGGATATTACACCCCTCCTCCCCACCCCCACACACAAAAAAAAAAACCAATAACTCCACCCTTTACCCAATAAATTCATCCTGTAAGGTTCAGATCAGCTCTTCACCGGGAAACTCAGCTCGGAGCCATGTACCAGCTAAAAACTTAACAAGTACTAGACTAGAAGATATCATTACTGGAGCTATATCAATATCAACAAGCATGAAGACAATATTGAAGTTTAAGTGCCATTTATCATGCATAAAACAAGTAAATATGAATTTTTCCGTCTGTTGTAAATTAAGACACTTTTGGAGACTAAATAGAAATGCGATCTAATGGGAGATTCAAGCATATATTCCATAGTCTTGCTGGATGGTTACCTCACTAGAATGATCATAAAAATCAATTCGAAAAATAGAGTGCAGATAGCTTAAACATTGCAAGATACACGTGCTTGAGTAAACTACACAGAAAAACTAGTTCACAATTTTGAACAATCGACACTAGCCCATTATTTAAACCATCATCAACATCAAAATCAGCATAAGCAAACCAAAACTACTACAAGATCACAGCAGCAGTAATTACAATCTAACAGAAAAGAGCACATAAAAACGAAGTATCGTTCAGTTCAAAGCACCAAAACAACATAGACAGCTCGAAATCAATGAATTTTTCAACAACTAACATTAACCATTATTTTACTCAACATAATAATCAAGCCTAAAAAAAATGTTTCCAAAAACCAAGAAATGATTAGTTACAAGACATTAATTATTAGATAAAAGAGAGTAATCAAAGACTAACGTTGACCAAACTAGTATCAAAGGCGACATCGGCTTTGTTCTGGAGCAAAGCCACGGAAGCTTTAACGACGCCGTTCACGCTCATCAAAGCTTGTTCCACCGAGTTCGAGCACGCAGCACAGGTCATCCCCGTAACTCTCACCTGAATTCTCTTCAAATTCTCCGCCAGTTTCCCGGAATTCTCAACATCATCTTTTTCGTATGCATCCAAAAGCCGTACCTCCTCGAGGTCATCGCCGGCGTTGGCCCCCAACGTTGACGTCAGTTGGACGTCTCGGAAACTCGGCGCCATGGAACCAACCACCGGGAAACCAGAGACCCCAATAAACAAAGATATTTAGGTCTGTATCCCTGGGATATAGAGAGAATAGCGATAGATATTTGTTATGTAGAGAGAGGGAGAGGGAGAGGGAGAGGGAGGGCGGAAATTAGAGAGACAATGTCAAGGGGGAGGGAGAATACGAGGGGGAGTTGGAGACAGCGAATTTGTAACTAAAGTAAGCTGCGGGAGGGAGGATTGGATGGGGCAGGTAGGACAGAGAATTTTTGAATGGACAAATATGGGCCTACGGTTGGGCTTAATCACGGTTTTGGGTTTGTACTGCATGGGTTTTTGATGTAGTACAACCGTGGGGCCCATAAGAAATTACCTAACACCTGAGGTTTAAAGGATGACTCAAATGACTTTGGACTGGTCCGCTATTAATTAAAAGGGTTAATCTCATTTTTCATTCTGAAAGATTGTTCGAATTTTAATTTGTACCTTCAAAGATTAAAATTTTTAATTTATACCCTCAAAGATAGAAATTTGTATCAATATGCACCCCTAAAGATCAAAAATCTCAATTTTCACCCTCAAAGATATAAATTTATATCAATGTGCACTCCAAAGATAATAAATCTTAATTTGTACCCTCAAAGATAANACCCCTGGCATAGTGATCTTTAATAAACCTGCGTCATTTTTCTAGGTGCTGACTAGCTTCGCTGGTAAAGTGCCATGGAAGTCATACCATGAAACTGTGATTGAACCCCACATCCTCGTCTAGCTTTAGGTGATATGTAGGCAGCTGTATAACAGTACTATTCCAAATACTGTGCTTAGTGTGTGTTCTTACAATTTAAAAACTGGTCATTATTATGTTTGGTCCACTAATCGAGGGTGCTGGCCTATACCTAAATTTTATCATTGTGTGCAGGATAAGGATTCCCTCAAAATATGAACTCATAATCTCACAGTTGTTAGCCCAAAAATTTTATCACTACACCAGCCAGTGGCACACAATTTAGAAACTCAACAAGCTAAAAGTTATTTATTTCAACTACCTAGGTCACATTTTGTTCTATATCCAAATTTGTAACTCAATCGAGAATCAACTACATAGTGATCTCAATCAGAAGATATAATAGTGACTTTCAAAAAAGCAATGTCAATAGGTATAATTAATCTACTACTAATGCATTTGAAAATCGTTAATCGAATGTGAATCGCAAGCATTCAATGTGCTCAGAGTCGACAATGAATCAAGATGCTCAACAATCAAAATCTCTTACCAAAATGAGAAACAAATCAACTATCTATCTTATATCTTCTACTTAATTGATCAAAACCATACAAAACTAGTTATTTTTGTTAAAAGTGGATCCCCGATGCTCTAGTATTTCTTAAATATTGTTTTAAACCTGAACTTCTTTGTCTACCACCAATCAGTCAAATCTAATTTTCAGTGAACTGTTCAGTAATTTGTATTCTAAGTTCTAACACTCTCCATAGATCGATCTCAGTCTATTGAGTATATGTTACTTGGCCACAACATGCAATTGAGCGAACAACTTTTTAGTTGTAGCAAGTTTTTTGCGTCGTTACCGTGGAGTGATGTCTAGAACAATGAGCACCTATTGCCGTCATTTCAGTTCTACGCTAGTCCTCTCCCAAATCATGAGGATCAACCAATCACATCAAATATCATTGGAATCACCATTGTATGATGTGGTCAAATTAGGCAAACCAACTACCTACCACAACCCCTTTTTTCGTATAAGCCTGAAATTGGTTCTGTCAATGTCAAGACTGTAAACAGATCAACTGCAGATAGGCATGCCAAAGTTATGCATCATATTCTCACTAACTTATTGTGCATGCCAAAGTTATGTTCAATACAATGGGGCAGAATCATTCCAATGATAGAATGTGCAAGTTACATGTGAGAGGTAATGTGCCATAAACAAGCAGGATATTACACCCCTCCTCCCCACCCCCACACACAAAAAAAAAAACCAATAACTCCACCCTTTACCCAATAAATTCATCCTGTAAGGTTCAGATCAGCTCTTCACCGGGAAACTCAGCTCGGAGCCATGTACCAGCTAAAAACTTAACAAGTACTAGACTAGAAGATATCATTACTGGAGCTATATCAATATCAACAAGCATGAAGACAATATTGAAGTTTAAGTGCCATTTATCATGCATAAAACAAGTAAATATGAATCTTTCCGTCTGTTGTAAATTAAGACACTTTTGGAGACTAAATAGAAATGCGATCTAATGGGAGATTCAAGCATATATTCCATAGTCTTGCTGGATGGTTACCTCACTAGAATGATCATAAAAATCAATTCGAAAAATAGAGTGCAGATAGCTTAAACATTGCAAGATACACGTGCTTGAGTAAACTACACAGAAAAACTAGTTCACAATTTTGAACAATCGACACTAGCCCATTATTTAAACCATCATCAACATCAAAATCAGCATAAGCAAACCAAAACTACTACAAGATCACAGCAGCAGTAATTACAATCTAACAGAAAAGAGCACATAAAAACGAAGTATCGTTCAGTTCAAAGCACCAAAACAACATAGACAGCTCGAAATCAATGAATTTTTCAACAACTAACATTAACCATTATTTTACTCAACATAATAATCAAGCCTAAAAAAAATGTTTCCAAAAACCAAGAAATGATTAGTTACAAGACATTAATTATTAGATAAAAGAGAGTAATCAAAGACTAACGTTGACCAAACTAGTATCAAAGGCGACATCGGCTTTGTTCTGGAGCAAAGCCACGGAAGCTTTAACGACGCCGTTCACGCTCATCAAAGCTTGTTCCACCGAGTTCGAGCACGCAGCACAGGTCATCCCCGTAACTCTCACCTGAATTCTCTTCAAATTCTCCGCCAGTTTCCCGGAATTCTCAACATCATCTTTTTCGTATGCATCCAAAAGCCGTACCTCCTCGAGGTCATCGCCGGCGTTGGCCCCCAACGTTGACGTCAGTTGGACGTCTCGGAAACTCGGCGCCATGGAACCAACCACCGGGAAACCAGAGACCCCAATAAACAAAGATATTTAGGTCTGTATCCCTGGGATATAGAGAGAATAGCGATAGATATTTGTTATGTAGAGAGAGGGAGAGGGAGAGGGAGAGGGAGGGCGGAAATTAGAGAGAAAATGTCAAGGGGGAGGGAGAATACGAGGGGGAGTTGGAGACAGCGAATTTGTAACTAAAGTAAGCTGCGGGAGGGAGGATTGGATGGGGCAGGTAGGACAGAGAATTTTTGAATGGACAAATATGGGCCTACGGTTGGGCTTAATCACGGTTTTGGGTTTGTACTGCATGGGTTTTTGATGTAGTACAACCGTGGGGCCCATAAGAAATTACCTAACACCTGAGGTTTAAAGGATGACTCAAATGACTTTGGACTGGTCCGCTATTAATTAAAAGGGTTAATCTCATTTTTCATTCTGAAAGATTGTTCGAATTTTAATTTGTACCTTCAAAGATTAAAATTTTTAATTTATACCCTCAAAGATAGAAATTTGTATCAATATGCACCCCTAAAGATCAAAAATCTCAATTTTCACCCTCAAAGATATAAATTTATATCAATGTGCACTCCAAAGATAATAAATCTTAATTTGTACCCTCAAAGATAAAAATTTGTATCAATGTACACCTAAAATTAAATTGATAAATTATACCTAGATCCCCTCATACTTGTCACTTAATCATTTAGACCTTTTCACATTTAAAATATTACTCTTACATCTTATGACATTTGTGCACGTATAACACGTAACTCATTTTCATTAATATCTATTAATATAACAGTTAAAAAATATAATTTTATCCTAATAAAAAATTATAATTTCATATTACCATTTATTTTATGGGTTCAATATACTCTAAAGTTCCAAATATAGTTTACCATTTGAATGTCTAATAAAATGTAAATATTTATATAATGTTTTTCATATTACCTTTTATATAAATATCTACATTTTATTAGACATTTGAATGGTAAGCTTGATTTGCAACTTTAGAGTATATTGAATCCACAAAATAAAAGGTAATATAAAATTATAATTTTTTATTAGGATAAAATCATATTTTTTAACGATTATATTAACAGATATCAACGAAAAGTGGTTATGTGTTACACCTGCACAAACGTCATGAGATGTAAGGGGAATATTCTAAATGTGAAACACTTCAAATGATTAAGTGACAAATATGAGAGGATATAGGTATAATTTATCAATTTAATTTTAGGTGCACACTGATACAAATTTCTATCTTTGAGGGTACAAATTGAGATTTTTTATCTTTGGGGATGCACATTGATACAAATTTCTATGTTTGAGGGTGTAAATTGAGATTTTTGATCTTTAGAGGTATAAATTGAAATTTGAACAATCTTTTAGGGTACAAAATGAGATTAACTCTAATTAAAAAATAGTTTGGGAACATGATGGAATTTGGCTCAGATAAGAAAAGATTAATGATTATGGAAAGGGTAATGCTACATGAATTTAAAAAGTAGACTTAAAAATTAGACTTGATAATCTTAATCATTGATTTTACTATGGATTTCAACATTTATTGGGNAATTAGACTTGATAATCTTAATCATTGATTTTACTATGAATTTTAACATTTATTGGAACTCATTACCTCTTCAATGATTGAAATTATTAAATTTAATTTTTAAGTTCATCTAAGATTACCCTTATGAAAATTCTGATTATGTTAGGGTATTAATTGTTGGCGGTTTGATGGGTTTTGGGTTTGTTGGGGACAAGCCGGTGAGATGAGGACGTTTTACCGCATTGAGAAGTAGTTGCACATATGGAAATTTTTCCTCATAGCCTTACAAATCTATCAATCTCAAAGATAGTGCTACGGTATTGAGATTTATTTTTAAGGATTTTACAGATCCATTAATCTTATTTTAATTTAATTTTGATCATTGATCATAAAAATAATAAAATAATTTTTTTTAAGTATTGCATTTTTATTTAATCAAAAAAGTGATACAGCACCGAAAGTCAATATCAAATTCGAACATATGTCAAATCAGCTTTAAAAAGGTTATACTGGTGTAATAACTCAAAAGTTCTAAATTGGATTAATTTGGCATTCATAATTTGTAAATTTAATGATGCGGCATCCAAAACAAAATTGATTTAAACCATTATATGCAATGGTTTGCAAAATTTATTATATTTTCTAGGGTAAATTACATCTTAACCCCATGTTGTTTGAGTGAGAAACACTTCACTTACATTTATTTTGAAAATCACACATGAACTTTTTGGGCTACAGTATAAACAACTAACCGAGTTAACAGTTTAGTATAAAAAGAAAACAATGCCCTTCTTTTTAAAATGCCATACTTTTTGTTCCTTACAATTTTATACATTTAGAAAATTATGCTTAATTCATAGAACTACATGGGAGAAAAAGGGAATGATTGATCTTTGAGAGAATAAAAACTTAAAAATATAGGACATGTTTGGTTTGTATTTCAAAAAATAGTATTTGAAAATTATTTTTGTGAAGAGTTTTAAAAAATTATTTTTAAAAATTTTAGATTATAAAACTTGTTTGGTTATATATTTTTAAAAATAATTTTAAAGAACAAAAATTATAAAATCTGTTTGGACAATGATCTATAATTCTCACCTCTCTCTTTCTTTCCCCAAAACACACTCACACACGCGCACACACACACACACGCATACACACACAGATGCATACACACATAAACGCATACACACAAAGACATGCACATACGCACGCAAACCTGTGCTTAGATTTGTGTATATACAATAAATATGTGTATATACACAGATTTGTGCTCATATCTGTGTAGATTTGAAGCTTTAATTGTTGCAAAAAGAGAGATAAAGGTCAGATCTGAAACTTTTGGTTGCAGTAAAGAAGAAGATGTTGGAGAAGATATGTGTGTGTGTGTTCATTCTGTCTGAGAGGCAAAGTAAAGAGAGAGAGAGAGCTAGAGAAGACAACCTCTGTGTGTGTGCGTTCTGTTTGATGGGCAAAGTGGAGAGAAAGAGGAAGGGGAAAAAAAATGAAGCCTATACATACTAGGACTAGTTTTGTTGCTAATGAGACTCGAAAGACAGGCCTTATTAAAGAGTTTTGTTATCTGTGTTTTCAAAATTTTTGGCATAAAAGTCTGAAAACAAGCGTGACTTGTTTTCTATTTTTTTGCTTCAATTCTCACTTTTTTCCGAAAATTTGAAAACAAAAACTCTAACCAAATGAGTTTATATGTTTATAAAAACACACTGAGTTTAAAGTTTTGATTGTTAGTCTTTACAGAATTTGTACCGAGTTCACTTTAATTCAAAACAATTCGGTGTTAAATGTAAATTTGCTAATTAACAGGAATTACGCCTTATTGGGTCAAATCAGGTGCAGGTTTTGATTCATCTTCTTATCAGGAGATGTGCCAAAAACAAAAACAAAAACAAAAATTGAATTTGGTTGCATGTGTGGGCCAACATATGCAACAAAACTTGGGTTGTGCAAAGCTTGCCAATACGACCTTCAAACAGCTTAAAAAAGTTGCCATAACAAACTAACCACAATTCAACAAATTGGATTGAGTTAGTTGCTTTTCTTTTTGCACATATACTACACTTTCTCATGGTTTCTGTTTGTTTATTGTCAAAATGAACTAGTTTGTAAGCTGAATGATAGGGCAAGGCTATGGTAACTTCTAAAATTTTTGATACCATATGAAATTAATTAGGAGTTGTAAATTCTTGTTTGATATATTTGGGATTATTGATTATAAAAAAATAAAATAAAATAAATTTATAAATGTCAAAGTTTTATTTAAAAAAATAATAAGCTTCGTGTTAAAGAAAAAAAATTTCGGCTTTTCCCTGTGAGTAACCATTACTTTGTAGAGGAAATGTTTATTGGATTATACAGAACAGGGTGTTTTTTTTTGGTCGTTGCAGCGACGGCAGCCGTCGGAAAGGTTGACCCATCCATGTGACTTACGAAGGAGCCTTTGCACAATTGACATTTAAGTTTGGACCATTTTCAAGTTGTCGAATGGAAGGAAATAAGCAACGACAACCCATTCTAAGCTAGGTGGAAGTTGGTGCACGTATGACTTGTAATGTGAGCATCCAATGTACATCTTCGTTTTTAGGTTAAGGAAAAAATCTCGAGTGAAAGTATTATCATCCCATAAATCTACTTTATATACACCCTTTTAATAAGTAAACCTACTTTATATTTTGTCATAATTAGGATTTTATTTTTTTATCTTATCTGATGCACTCACAAAAATATTTTTTTAATATAATTTTTTCCAATAAGATATAGGTTATTACTTCTCAATTTAATTATATATTTCATTTCATGTTTGTTGTATGAATTTTTCGTATATTTTGATATATCTGACAAGTTTAATAATTTTTTATTTAGAATTTATATGTGTGTATGCATATATATACTTCCAAATTATCTATTTCTTTTTTATCTTGATGATATGTTGGTTAAAGTAAAAGGAATTGTGACCACCTGATGGATTTGACCGATACCTTCTCCACCCTCAGGGAGTATGGGCTGAAGCTAAACGCCGCAAAGTGTATTTTCGGAATGGAGTCAGGTAAATTGCTCAGATATCTGGTGAGTCGGCGGGGAGTCGAAGCTAACCCGAATCAGATTCAAGCGATCCTGGACGTCTGGAGCCCCCGGACGGTCCGAGAAATCTAGAAGCTCACAGAGATGTTGGCAGCACTCAATCGTTTTATCTCGCGCTCCTCGGACTAATGCAAACCCTTCTTTGGGGCCATCAAGAAGGTCGAGAAGGATACGTGGAGCCATGAGTGTGAAGACGCCCTGGCACGAATCAAGGAGTACCTCCGGGTTCTCCCGACCCTATCCGTTCCTGCCTAGGGGGAAATGATCTTCCTGTACTTGTCCGTATCAGAATTTGCCGTCAGCGGGGTACTCATTCGTGACCACGAGCACCACCAGAAGCCAGTTTATTACGTGAGCAAAGTGCTACTGGATGCGAAAACAAGATACCTACC